ATAACACTGGCTATCTATGTCCCCACAGATCACCAGGAACCACTACCAGAACGCCCTAACAGCAACCAGGATGGACAGCTCGCCTCAGACACCAGACCCAGTGGATCCTGATGCTAAAGGGAGGCCTCCGGTCCCAGAGGCTCGCTCACACAGCATCGCCCTCCCCCTCACACACACACGGCTGGGGCTGGCACGCCTTGCACATCTCCATCCCCACGGTGGCCTTCGTAACACCTTCCAGCTCAATGAAAGAAACCGTATCGTTCGTAAGTAGTGTAATAATATGTAGACTTTACAAACTGTGTTTTTATTATTAGTCAGTTAATCAGTTAGTCCACTGAAAATTAAACTGTAAATTTTGTCAGTTAATAAAGTGGTTTTTCAAGCAAATGTGCCAAACATTCACCATTTCCACCTTAACTGTGAGAGGTTATTTGAACTGTTTTCTCAATTTTCTGGTCGAGAGGAAAAAAGAGGAGGTTCGAAGGATCAAACGCACTGATTGAAGTGCTCTGTGGGCAAAGGGCCAATAACCTGTCTGACAGGACCAATACATTTCAATTATTGATGTAACTGTCTGATACTCTGAGTTGTCAGGGGCAACCTGAAAATTTATGATCTGATGACTGGCAAGTCCAGTGAAAAGAAATAATTTAAAAAGCTGCAAAGACATCCATAACCAACCCTGTTAATAACAGAATTAAGATAAAAAAGGAGAAAAACAAAGTAGAATGAGGTTGAATAGGCTTCACACATGATAATGTCCCTCAGGTAAATCATAATGGAATAACATAGAAAATAATTGAAACAGAAGTCAAAAATAGCATTAGCCGAGATAAATACCAGTTTTGATAATTTTTCATTATATTTACGATATCAGTAAAGGATGAATCCTGTAAATCAACCAATCACAGTGACTCACTCACAAAACTGGTCCAAACGCACCAACCAATCTGTACTGGCTTAAAGGATTTCCCACATACCATCTGTCTTATACTGAGTGTAACACGCCACCCAGTTTGACTGTGTTTACGTTAGTGACAACAAAAAAAATCACTAGACAGATGGTTCTGTTGGTTGTCAATAAAAGAGAAGCATCCAGTTAATACAGCTCCAGGTTTTATGTCCAATCACGACACAACAGATTTCACCAATTCAGTCCCCTGAACTGGTTGTAGCTCATATTTATTTGGACTTCAAACCTTGAACTTTTAACCCTCAACTGGTCACAACTATTGACTATATTCAACCTCTTACTGGACCCCAAAGAAAACAACTGACTGATAAATGGCATGTTCTCTACCTCCCTCTATTGGCAGAACTACAAACCAGCTGCTGTGATGTGGCTACTTGCTAGCTGATTGGTCTAATTCTCTCTTCACAGGCAGTAAATCTGATGGGCAGAGGAGTCCAAATGATACTGTATTCCTCCGCATGGATGAGATTCCCTACATCCGTGAGGACCGGCCAGAAAGCTATGGGGAGAATGGTGAGAGCTGCTCCATGTATCCTGACTGGAGAATACAGACTAATCAATACTTGATTCTTATTTAGTTTGCCTAATGATGATGTCTTTCAAGCAAATGACTCAAGACAATCTTAGAGAATGAAGGAAAAAAACAGTCTTCCATTAATTTGTGGCTCCGGTGGTTGATCAAAATTTACAGTCTCAGTTTCAAGTCGATAAAAGCCACAGTCAGCTGCAGTAAAATCTTTCTTGCAGGCTGTATAACTACATATTTGCATATTTATTTCGCTCCATCTACTCCACCTGTCATTTCAAGTGTGCCCCTTCTCTCTTCTATCTTTCAGATGTGCCTACAGAGTCTCAGCCATCCACCTCTCCCTTCATCAGCTCTCTGTCTCTGTCCAGCTCCGAGGAGAACATCGGGAAGAAGCTATTGCGTAAATTGAGTGAGTGAGCCTCTTGTCACGAACGCTGATGCGACAACAAGCCCACACATACCGTCGGATGTGCCCAAACTTTTCTGTCAGGCATAGCAACAGTGACAGGCGTATCTTAGCAACAGGTGATGTGTCGTGTCCCTGGCTGCAACCTACTCCTTCCTGCAAGAGCAGATTCTCCAGATGCAAGTGTCCTTGTTGGCTCAGATACAAAATGATTCATTTATTTTTTTATGTATTCTTTTGAGCCAGTCGCTGCGCTGCTCGGTACAGCTGGCCTTATTTCAGTTCATAGCAAATGTGAGATAGTCTGAAGTAAGTTGCCTCTGTTCAGGTACTCTAACCAGTAATCGACTGAATTTCATCACATTCTCTGTCTCTAGGTAACAAGAGGAGGAAAAAGTCTCGGGACGGAGACAAGAGTTTGGAGGAAGGCCCAGAGCAACCACCAGTGACCAGCTAGCACAGTGACACTGAGGAAGAGGGATAAAGCACACACCTTCTTCCTCTTTATCGTCCACTAGGTATCCTTAAGAAAACAACCACTCCCTCATAGACTCCCTCCATGCTCTGACACAACTCTCACAGGAGACTGAGCCATCCTATCTGCTGTAGCCACCGATAATACTCAGGTCCCACCTCTGCCTGAATTCACACCATTAAAATCATTGCTGACTATAAGAGGGACAGGTCTGAAAAACAAAACTTGATTGGACAAATCTAAACAACCTAGTATTGGATTTATCCAGCCTTACACTGGACTCTGTGGATCCCAGCAGGTTTTAATCACATGTTTTGTAGTTCATGGGGCAAAGTCTGTCCATGCTACCTTTTTATAGTAGCTCAATCCACATTGTGAACATTTAATCATCCCATTCAAGCCATATTGTGATATTGAAACAGTAGTCAGCATAGTTTGTCATTTAAACCCAAAACGGTCCTTTGATAATATCTGAGCCAGCTTTGAGCTTCGTTTTACTTGATCAAACAATGAATACAAAAGTATTTCTCATTTATATGTTATTATGAGGCAGTTCCCACATATTGAAAATGTTGTTTGCACAGGGAGCTGTCCTAATGTTGCCATAATGGTGCCACTGACTGCCAACTCGACATACTAGCCATCGGCTCCCACGCGACAAGAGCACAATTTTTACACCAGGTTAAAAGAAAACAATTACTTTAAAAAAAAAAGCCATAGATGAATTCCCAGCCTGAATAACTACTTATTGTATACACTGACCTTTCAACAAGTTCAGAGAGGTATGCACAATTTAAAAAAACCTGAGATAGGAAAAACACAATTTCTTACCTGATTTTTATACAAAAGTGTCAGAATTACAAAAAAGTTATTTAAAAATAGCAATATAAGTCATCTTATATACTGTAAATGGCTTGACTTCATCACCACACAACCACATACACACATACATTCAATAAATTCGTCTTAACTTAAATGCATGTTTCCTACATACACTGGTTTCTATCTCTTCCCATTGAAGCATGCCCTTCTCTCTGCATATGTAGCTGTATGGACAGTTTCAGTGTTTCTATCAAACACACACCTTCACTTATCCTCCCTTTCTCTTGATGTTACCATGTTTTTTCATTAGCCTGTATTTGAACATGCAGGCGCGTCATTACACTGATAAAGAATAACATTGACCTATCTGTTATCTACCATATTAAGCCACTTTTCTATGTACAGTTCATCTCTCACAGCGTCAGTCGCTAAAGCTGCATACACCATTTAAAAATAAGCTAGGGGTTTTGGGGTTTTTGGATCTCTGGGACTTGGGGTCCAAATGGATATTGTCAGTATTCTTGAGGAAGGGTAGTTGCTACTTGCATGTTTGTTTAAGCTGCTTTTACCTTAAAATTATCCCCTGTAGAAATCTCAGTTTTTTCCATATGCATGCTTATGTAAAAGGATGCATGAATAGGATGATACCAATCTGCATTAGCTTCTCCCCAAAGAGGTGCAGTGTGTGACTTACTGAAATCTTACATGAACTTAAATGAACTTCACAAAGAGAGGAGCCTGGAGGCTGAACTGCAGCAGTCAAAAGCTTTTTTTTATAAATGTTTTAACATGTGGACGGACGGACGGACACACACACACATACACACACACACACACATACACACACACACACACACACACACACACACACACACACACAGGGTGGGGGTTTTGGGGGGAGTGAGTTCAGAGGTAACTGTACATACTGAAGAGGCCAGAGAAAGCTGCTCACTGAGGGAAATGTTAAAGCCATTCTTATAGAAATTAAATATAATTGCAATAAGGAAATTATTTGTTGGATCCTTCAAAAATCAAATCTGCAGCTGCAGCCACCGCACGCACAGGTTGGACTGTCCTGATCTGCATTGTGAAATCTTGGCAGGTACTCTGCTCAACACAACAGCGGGAGAAAGAGATATGAAAGAGGGAAGCAATATGACGCACACTGACGTCAAGCCACCACCTCCCTTCAAACACACACGCAGGTGGTGTTTGGGGACTCTCAGTGATATAATTCATGCTGCCTGGTAAGGCTATAGAAGTACAAAGGATACTGCACTGCTAAGCTATTCGCATTGACCCCTCTATATACACAGAACACACAACGGGAAGTCTTTTGATCTGACAACTGACTCAGAGTGAGAGGATTTGTGTGAATCAGAAATTCTCACAGCCAAACGCTTTCAGAGAATTTTGCAGTTGGTTTACACTAATTTATATTTATATTTGTAAGGACTCATGTACTGTTTGTTCAGGATAAACAGGCAAAGTTACATTTTGTAATGTAAAATTCAGATGATTATATAAGCTACCCAAAGATACCAAGAGACAGACCATATGCTCAACACAAGGGAAAATTTAATTATTAATAAATTTACTGAACTATTATTGTCTACTTTTTGTTTCTGCTGTTTGTATTCATCCAACTTCAACTACAAAGCTTTTACACTGGATTATTTTTTCTGGTCACTCACTTCAAATGATTTGCACCGAAGCTTTTACAATCTTATCGTTAAACCCATTCAACTCCAAAATATATGACAACAATACAAACATACTATTTATAGTTCTTTATTAGAGTAGTTAATTCATGTTGTTTCACAGTCTGTTTCACATGTTCATCTTAAATTAATTTGCTAAACAGTATGACTACTTTATTGGTGTACTGTGCATAGAGATACAATAGCAAACTGGTTGATCATTAGTGTGGTTGTGCCACTGAAATGATGGCCTTACATAATAGTGCAGACAATCGCTGCACAAACTTTCACTGACAGGTGCCTGACTAAACCAGAAACATCAAAACATTCAGCTGGCAGCAAAAAAAAACTGACATTACTCTGGAGTCAGGACGCCTGTTAGGACAGCTAAGTGCCATTTGTGCTCGCGGAATACAAACTGGAAAAACCTCCATAAATACAGACTAAAAGTGAGGTAATTAGTATAACCCCTTTGGGCAAAAGACAGTATCATTAATAAATTACATACTTCAAGTTAAAAGTATCTTCCTGAGAACACTCATCTCTTGCTCATCCAGCAATAAATGTAAGCAGCTACTTCATTCATGATAGAGGTGGTAAATACTTATGACATTTATTATAAGTTCTTTCTCTGATTGAAGCTACACTGAGTGAATTTGGTCATGTTAATAGCTAATAGCTGTTCTTAACAACAGTTAATTATACATGCTAATTACTGGATTGGAAATGTGTTATTAACACTTGGAATGGTTGAATCATAACAGTGTGACATTAAACATTTTTAGCAGGTAGGAGTCAGCACCACTGAGGTAATTGTAGCACAGTCACAGATGTACTAACCTTCTCTAAAGTCCTGGTAATGACACATACACTAATAGTACACAACATGTGGAAAAAAAAATAGTATAAGTAGGTGACCAACACATAGCAAAGTGTAGGACAAATTAAGAACACAATTACCTAAAGGAATAATTACCATATTTTGAAAAACACAGTCTTACTTGGAGTTAGATGAGAAAATGAATATCTAAACCATCTCTGTGTGTTCAGTAGAGAAATAGGTCCAGGATGTGTTTAGCCTAGCTTAGCATAAACACTGAAAAGGAGGGGGAAACAGGGCCAATGAGCTTTCTGTATACTTGTGCGAATGAGAGTTTACACTCACTGTCCCTGGGATCAAGGCGGCTCAGGGCCGGGCAAGAGGAAGTGCTGAGAACTATGGTTAGTGTAGTCTTCTACTGGACCTTGGTGACAGCCTCGTGGATGGACTCAGCCACATAGTCGATGTTCTTGGTGGTCAAACCACACATGTTGATGCGACCACTGGCCATCAAGTAGATGTGTTTCTCCTGAACCATATATTCTACTTGTTTTGCTGCAGGAAATACACCAGAACCAGATTTAATTATTTATTGATAATTTATTCTTCTTTTTTGCCAAAGACACACAGCTGGGTTCAGCATTTTTTGTGTAAGTGGAGCAACATGCAGTGTCAAATATACTAGTTTCTATGGGGACGTGTATGTGGTGGTTACTCTGAGATGTGTATGTGTGTGAGAGAAAACGTTCGCTTTCTGTATGTGGTCTTTGTACTTACGGTTGAGGCCTGTGAAGCTGAACATGCCAATCTGCTCTGTGATGTGGTCCCACGTCCCTGGTGTCCCCAGAGCTTGGAGCTTAGCTTTCAGCTGAGCCCTCATCAACAACACTCTGTCAGCCATGGTCTTCACATTGTCCTTCCTGGATTCAAAGAAATAGATAAGAGTAACTGTACATCAAAAAATTGCATGCATAAATGCATTATATTTATGACAGTTACTCCTCGTGCAGTATCTTCAATGTTCTTTTTATAGGGTTATTTTGTACTGACCATTCCATAAAGAGCTCAGGTGAGTTAAGAGTGATAGCAACAATGCGAGCTCCCTGAGACGGTGGGTTGGACCAGGTGGTCCTGACAATCTTCTCCATTTGTGACAGAACTCGCTTCAGGTTGTCTGCATCATGAGCCACAATGGTCAGGTTGCCCACGCGCTCATCTAATTGGACAAACAGGTCACATATAAAACAATATTGTAGCTATTACTTTCTTTACTTTACTTTCTGTAGGTGGTGAAACTGATATATCTACATCTGATGTACCTATCTAAATTACTACTGCAACCATATAGATGGCAAAGGCTGGCATGTGTAAAACTACTCTCTACACAATAACTAAACAACTCGGGCCTCTGGAGAATCTACAACTTGCTAAATGTGAGAGACTCTTCTCTGAATATATATTTTTAGCTGTAGTTTTAGCTGTGTGCTATGTTTGTGTATATTTGAAAATAAGACAAGTGTGGATTAAGATTATATATTTCTTCTCTTCAGTAAGTGCATGTGAGTTTGGCTGTCGTAAGTGGCCTAACATATCTTGTATGTCAAGTTCAACCACTTAAAAAATGATTTGTACAACAACCTAAGTTAGGGGCTTACCCTTTATTCTGCTATTAAAATGAGGCCATATAAAGCACTTTGTGACTTCAATTGAGATTGAAGACAATACAAGGAGTGTCACTCTTTATCACTCTCTTGCAAACACATTATGTATGACTCAATGCACCCACGGGTCACTCACTGTAGAGACCAAAGTTCTTGGAGAATGACTGAGCGCAGAACATTTCAAAGCCCATGGAGACAAAGTAGCGGACCGCCCAGGCATCTTTCTCCAGACTGCCTGAGGCGAATCCCTGATAAGCTGAGTCGAAGAAGACAAACAACTTCCTCCTCTGGAAGAGAACAAACAAAAAGGTCAAACAATTATCATACTGTGATAATACTGAGCATTCAAAACCATGGTCTGTTTATATTGACACTTGTGTTAGTGGTGATAGCTGAGGCAAGAGAGCAGACGTGTTGGTTTGTATTTGTGTACATGCATGTGTATGATACCATCATAACTTCAGCGATTTGCTGCCATTGCTCCTGTGTGGGGTCTGTGCCAGTTGGATTATGGGCACAGGCATGCAGGACAAAGACGGAGTGCTCTGGACAACTCTGCAGGAAACAGAGAGAAGACGGAGAGGTTCTGTAAACTCCTACTGAAAATGACTGAAATTACGTAGTATCAGAGTCTGTGTCACACACCGCTTACCTCTAAGTCGCCAAGGAAACCAGCCAAATCAAGGCCCCTCTTCTCAGCATCCCAGTACTTGTATGGACGGACATCCTCAAAGCCAGCATTGGCGAATACAGCATTGTGATTTTCTGAAACAGAGAGTTCTCATTTCATTGTTTATATTTCCTCTAGATACTGATTAATTAATGCTTCTCACATTTTAACTGATAACAAATTAGATGACTGATAAGTTGTAACAGGACATTTATTAATAAAACACTCTACTGACATCCTGAGTCTAAAGTCTACAGTGAGCCAATGGAACTCTCTGTAATGTAAAGACCAAAGACTGTGAATAAGGAGCTACTTTCTAGGAAACATGTTTATTTTCCAGTCTGTGCTACATCACTGGTTGTTTGTGTGTTTGCATGAGTGTACCCCAGGTAGGCGCGGACACATAGACAGGTGTTTTAGTGTTGTTGTTTCCATTGTAGAAACGCCTGAGAAACTCTGCCCCCATCTTCAAAGCACCTGTACCTCCCAGACACTGGACAGCTCCCACCTGGCAGTGACAGAAACAGACAGAAAGTCAGTTTAAATGTAAATAGATTAGAAACTGAAACATCATATGGTCTTTCAGCACACGAACCCTGTTCTCTTGGACGGCAGGACTATCGTCTCCAAGAGCAATCTTGGAGGCTGCAGATCTGAAATCGGGCAGGCCCAGGATGGGCAGGTACTCATGGTTTAGCCTGTCATCATGCACAATGATCTTTTCCACCTTTTTCACCACTGGCAAAACCCATGGCTGACCTTCATCTGTCCGGTAGGCTGCAAGGAACAATTTAAGGAAACCAAAATTAATTTTTCATTTTTCACTTAGCCTTAATTAGCCTCTTGACTCATTAAAGATACATATACTGTATATTTCAAGCAGTATAACCAATAGAACTCTTCATTGCTTTTTTCCATTGTAAGAAGCTTGATGCTTTTGGACCTGTGTAAGATTGACCCCAGAGTGATCACTTCAAAGATATTGTAACAAACATGCACTTTCACCTTTTGTATGCTTTAGCTGGGTGTACTCCATGTCACCACCTGATAAGGACTTGAGTATACAATACCCTTTATACCTTCTGAACAGAGACCATCAACTTGCTTTACAGCCGACAAATGGCTTACAAATGGCTAAATATAATCCACAGTGCCTTTTTTTTTCATCCACCGTAAAAATGAATTATCTGTTTTACGCTGATATGACAAGGGCTGCAACTACAAATTATCTATATTACTTATTATTCTGCCAAATGTTTTCTAGGTTCATCAATTAATCATTTGGGCTATAAAATGTAAAAAAAATATATATAAAATATAAACATGTAAAGAAAATTCTCACAATGAGAAGCTGGCACTAGTAAATTTTTGGTTTGAAAAATTACAGACTTGATTAGTGGATAATCAGAATAGCTGCTGATTAATTTTCTATTGACCAACTTATCGATTAAGGGCCTACTTAGTTTTACTAGATGTGGCACTAGACATTATGTGGCCTACATTTCCCAGCTGCCCAGTAGCTGATGACCATCTGCAGTCCTCTGTGTCTTGCAGAGAGAAGGGGATTATCAGGCCTCATGCTAGCGTACTTATCATGGGACTCAGGTAGCCTCGTCCTGCTGAAATACTGCCACAACCGAGTTAAGCAATATTTCTCACACAGTTCCTTTGCAATGTAAGCAGCAAGGATTACTACTTTTAATAAGATTAACACAGAAAGCAGTTGTACTGAGGACTGAAATGTGCCACTTGCTTGCTCTAGGAGAGAAGCAGGCCTAAGCCATACATATTTAAACTCCTGCCACTAGCTTGTTCTTGCACCATGAGGGAGCAGTAATCCAATCGACTCCCTAGTCCACAGCATAAGAGGTTATTGTGCAGAGTTGAGGCAAGAGGGCGAAAGAGAGCAAACCAGTGAGGACAGGAACAGAGAACACTCTGCTACAGGGTTACATAATAATGAAACATTAAGCTGCAATCAGTAGTTTATGTGGAATGACTGGGGGTGGATCAGTTGTATTTACTCTCAATGGGGCATGATGAAATAGAGTGAGCCAGTTCTCAAGGTAGTTATTTTCACAATCTCCATGTCAGTGGCTAAGTAACGCAAAAACTGCCAAGACAGTAAACGTCAAACCAGAAAAGACTTAACTGACATCTACCTACGATAACTCCTGTACTTTACAGGTGTTACATCGAAATCTGTGAACAAATATTGCACTGACAGACCACCAGACTGGCCACAGACTTACTCTGTCAAGACTTTATCACCGTATCTCAATATCATGTGTGCATTTGTGTCAACAGTTATTAAAAATATCTGAATATTATGGGGCAAAAATTTGTGTTAACAGATATCAGAGTTTGTGTCACTATCTGAATACTATGAAGGCATCATACTTTAGGGACTGCTATCAAAATAAGACATGTAGCCATTTTCACAGAAAAATGGGCAAATAAACACTAGAGAAATTTCTAAACAGGTCACTGAATGTTACGGGTCTCAGAATTCAGTGTAACACCGCTTGCAGCTAACTTTCCAGCTAGCTTCTTTAGCTAGGCTATCATTAGCTTGAACAGAGACCAGCTGGTTGCTCCAGGAGAGCGTTACCATGGCTAACAACATTGCAGGTGACATGAGTGTCGTTCAGACTGAATGTGTACAACTTACCTCCCACTCCGAGGTTCACCTTGTTGGGGAATTGGTCGTTAGTGAAATCCTGCGTTAGCTTGAAGACAGCTACAGGGGCTGCTTGAGGTACCTCACAAAACACCGACATAGTTTTTATGTATTTCACTAGACACTGTGTACGATAAGCGACAAGCGGCAACCGAGACAGCTACTGGGATGAAAGAGGAATTTCACCTTCAACTTGGATTTGGGGAAATGTAAAGTGGGTGTGAGCGGATTTACCAATAGAAATCTAAATGTATCTGTCAAGCCAATCCCTGCACTGATCCCAGTCGGGTCAAAGTTAAAGAAAACACACGCACAGGAGGTTTTGACCAATGAATGCCTGTGTAGGCTGACTGACAAATGTCACAACAAATGTCTAGCACTGAAAGTGGGTGGTTCAGGGTTTTATTGCAATAAAGGCTTTCACCACAAGATGGTGCCCCAACCTTGTTAAAGATTGCATGAATAGCTTCCCAGTAGGGCACTGAGCAGAACTATTGATGGTATGAGTTTGTTCTGCAGTGCTATGTCTTCCATTTATAAGAAAATAATACATATCTAAGTCAAACTGCTTAGAGACGAGATAATTATCGCACATATCTTTATATTTAATCTATCTTTAACAGTAGAAGCTCCGATACAGAGAGTGAGGCTTCACATCCCATCACATATGTCAATTCGAACTCTAACTGAAGAGACAGTTACTATGCTTGCGCTCCACACTATTTGAGTGAGTGCATGTAAGGTTGTGTAAATGACTATATGCAAGGATCTTCATCTGTTCTGTCCTGAGGGCCTCTGCTGAGCTATGGTGTAAACATGCCGGCTCCTCTGTACTCTCCCCACAGCTGTCTGCAGGAGCAGGAGTGGTTGATAAATGAAGGCCACTCCAGCCTGCTCTACATCTACCAGGAGCGTGACTGTGTTGGAAAACTTTTCAGCTACACTGGAGGCAGCCCAGTGCTGGCTCTTAATGTTTCTGTCTGGTAAAGAAGGGGCTGTTGCATGGCTCAACCTAGTTTGTGTGATTAAACTCAGTGATGGTGGAATACATTAATGCAGTCCCACCCTCTAACGAAGTAATAAAATAGATCTTATATTTGGTTTATTATGTGTAACTAATGGCTTTCTTTCAGTGGTGGGATGTAACTAAGCACATTTACCCAGTACTGTACTTCATTAAACTAAATGTACCTTTTACTGCACAACATTTATCTGGCAGCTGTAGTTACATCGCTACAGTTACTAGTTAATTTGCAGATAGATTTTACACACAAAACATATGATCGGATGATTAAGTATTCATTGATGCATTAACAGAATATAAAGTAATTAAAATTAGCTGCACTTTCGCTAGCTTCAACAATAAAATGCTTCTTAGGTGTTAATGATTCAGCAATAATAATCCACAACTATAATATAATAATCTGTAAGGGGCATTCTGTCATTCTGTCTCGAATACTTTTGATACTTTTAAGTTGGCTACATTTTCCTAATAACACTGATAAGTCCTTACTTGCTCTTAATTACACTGTCACTAAGTTGTTGCATTTGTTGAGTTTGTGCAGTTGTGTAAACGTAATAATTGTGGCATGCAATTAGCCAGCACCAGCCTAAAATAAGGTATACCTTATAAAGGGCTTATAAATTGTATCTAATGTCTTTATTAATGGTTTATAAATCCTTGCTTAAAGATGCTGTCAACTCAAAAATAAATGTGGTTTGCTCATTGTCATGTCATCTGGATGTTTGACTTTCACTGTGCAGAATGATGTATGAGCAGAGTTTGACACTAGGGGCTGTTTTTACATTTATCTGCTGAAAGAGGGAAAGTTTCCCTGTTCTCACCTTAAATCTCGGTTTAACATGTGTATGTACGAGCACCATCTTGTGACATCACAGCCAGTTTCGAAGCCAGTCGTGGTCCATCATGCAATGTACACAAGTGTGGTGTAGAAACTTGAAGCTTCCTAAGCACATTAACCGAGAATGGGCTTTTTAGTGAAGGTTACATATTGTGTCCAGCAGTTATATTTTTTGAAATGAACAAAATTTACATATTGAAAGAGAGAATTTTTCAATGAAGGAGAGGGAGTATTTTTATGGGTCTTAAACCGTGTCTAGGGGATACTGAATGTTTTATAGATCAGTAATAAGTCTGATTGTTCTTGATGTTTCTGTCACATTTGTCATTTCATGGCAGTTTATGTAGTTAAAGCTATCACTATCACTATCATCAGCATTTGTTTTCAGCTGCCGCCAGCATCAGATTTCAGTGGAAAGAAATTGTGATAAACCCACTACACACTACCTGCCCAGAAGCGAACGGCAGACACACAAAATAAGCAACTTGCCAGTGAACATAGTGGAACATGTAGTAGCTAAAGAGGCAGATTTTTTTTCTCAGTAGTTGGTGGAAATTGGCAAACAGAAAGGAGAGTAACTATTGGATTTATAGTCATCAGCTGAACAGAAAATATACCTTCAAATGAATGCTAACGTTGCTCAATGTCTGGTGGATGTGTAAATAGGGAACTGTTTATACTGTTATAAGGTGATTATATACCAGTGGTGTATTTACATCCTGTCCCGTTGCCCCTAGATGGCCAAAAAAGTGTTTTAAACTCAGCGATTGTGGAATACATGAATGCTTTATAGTTCACTGATATACTATTAATAAGGACAACAATTTAGATTGTAAAAAATCCATTAGGCTCATAATTCTGCAGTTAATAGAATATTGGCTTATGTCTGATTTATAAACCATGAATGAATGCTTTATCACCCATTATCAAAGGATCAGTTACGCCTTATAAAGCCCTTAAAAAGAATACTTTGCAAAAGTGGTACAATTAATCCAAACACTGGTTATCACAGAACACTAAGTTACTATTTTCTCCAACCAGATGTTACTTACTTTCCCCGTACCTGTTACCACCCCCACTCATCTCCTCGCTTCACTTTGACAGTAGATGTTTTCATTCTTTCCGACCAGGTGAGGGTGTCTAGCATGTTAGCTATCACTGTCAGCCCTGCAATTATGGGATTTGAGCTCCCAGAACAACGCTTGGGGGCCCAGAGCAGGGTTTGGTGTGTACGTAGTGGTGAGGCCCCAGGGCCACGGTCTGGACTGTGATGTGAAGTGTGAGTCAGAGCAGAGAGTGACAGGAGTAGCCTCTGGCAAGACAGTGCCCAGAGGGGGAGTGTGTCACATCTAGATGAATGCATTAGTCAGCCAAACACTCACAGGCACCTTCTCTGCATTTCCTTGACGTTGATATGTGGAACATTTATTTTGGCATCTAGTGTAATGCAAATATGACAAAAAAAAGAAGAGTTGGGCCAACAAGGTTTCTTTTATCATAGTGTTTTCATTTTGCATGCAGGTTATCGCTGCTGCTGTAGGACGCTGACACTGAAGCACACAAAGGCACACATTCAGGCACAAGACAGTCACATTCCAGCTGTGGTATCACTGAAACACAAACAGGAGCGTGTGCACACACACACTGCAGCACATTCCAAGGGGGCCGTTGCAGCATTGCTCACATGTTGCAATGGCCTCTGCGTCTCTGGGTCAGAGAGTTCTGGTGAGTGACCACCTTTTTAGCTTCCCGCCTTGTTTGTTTTCCAAAGACAGTGTCATCAATTCTCTAACAAGGGACTAGACACAGCAACAACAAAGAGCACAGGACCTCCCTGTTGCTCCTTGTGTAGTCCAATGACTGATGGAGCGTGCAAGCAATAACAGACATCAGCGCTGACTACATTCTGAGCAGTGTATTTGTGTGTATGTCTGTGCAAGCTTGTATATGCGTACATACCTTTATGTGCTCCATTTGGTATCATCACGTGAAATCAGTTTTGGTTTTTTGCACTCAAATGTGTACATGTGACCAAGAATATACTGCACTCTGTAGACCTGAACTTAAAACATTGGTGCCTGCATGAATAAAGATAATCATCTAAGTGACAGAAGTTGCTTGACTGAGTGTATTCAGATTGAATGCAAATGCCATTTTCGAAATAATACTAATAATTACTTTTGAAAATGCAAATTCTCAGAGATCCCATCAGTAATACACCCTTAAATATTTGTATTTTAGAAGTGCAAAGACGTAATTATCAAAGTTGCAATGTCATTGTTTACACAGCTAAAACCAATCATAACACTATGTTTGTTTGGACTCACTGAGACAACGACGATCCACCATGTGAGATGGTTTTCTTCAGATCAGAGAGAAATCTTGACAATGCCACTACATAGTGTTACTGAGGGAATAGCACAAGACCGTGGAAAAGAAGTCTTTGTTTTCTTGCCGTGAGTTGGATGAGACAATCGATAATGCTCTCATATCTGTACAACATGGAGCTATGTTCAGGCAACGGCCGGTTAGCTGAGCATAGCACCAAAACTGGAAACAGCTAGCCTAGCTCTGTCCAAAGGTAACAAAATCCATCTACCTCTAAAGCAGGCTCGCTAATTGACATTCATATTTTGTTTGTTTAATCCATCCAAAAACAGAAGTGTTAAAAGAACACATTTCTGCGTTAATTACTGAGCTTCTGAGGAGCTGCTGGGTGGATCTGTTTCCCCGTTTTGAATGTTTGTTCTGAGCTAACCAGCTACTGGCTGTACAGGTCACCTTAGATTTTTTGTACAGACATGAGAGCAACAATCTCCTCAATAATTCCTTTAAATAATAATAATACATTTTTATCTATATAACACTTTTATTTAGGGTACAAAGTACTTAAAACTGAAATAAAGGAGTAAAACAGAAATGAAAATGACTGCTTTGTCATACCTACAACTTATTTTTTCAGAAACTGTACAATCTATGTATCTGTAAATGGGTACTGTTCACATATTTGATCAAAGATTTGATTTTGATCACCATTTTTGAGAAGGATGATAATAACTTATAAAGGTCTGCTTGTCACTCACTGCCTTTCACAGATATGGCCTTTACCCCATAAGGCTGGGTGGAACCTCAAACACAAGGTCTACACTGTGCTATTCTAATTGATTGATGTTGTCTTTTGGCCAACTCAGGCTCTCCAGACCTCAGCTTTATACAAATATGCATGCTAAGAAACAAAGACAGGAAGTGGAAGACTCATGTCTGAATTTTTACCCTGGCTGTTTTGTTTTGTTTTTTTTGTCTGCATAAACTGCCACAAAAATGTTAGGTGACAAGAAACCCCACAGTGTCTTTCATGATCTCTAACGGTGTGACATTTTATTAATTCACACAGGGGGAGATCATCTGATTTCATTCTTCCATTCAAAGAGAGGTCAGAGTCCAGGGTCGGCTACAGAGCAGGGACTCAATATCTCTATGAGAGCGGATGCCTGCCAACACTGCGGCTTGGACCGAAGTCGTCCAGTTGAAGGACAGTCTCTCCGTTTACACTGACATCCAATGTCAATACAGCAATACCAACGGCCATTGTTATGAACACAACAGTAATGCTGGACACTGAAACTGCACTGCTTGGTATTTTATACAGTAGTTGTTTACAAAAAATTAAACTTTATTCATGAGGAGACAGAGTTTTGCCAAAACAAACTGTCACATTGATTAAGATACCACCGTGGTTGCTGGAGAGACAGTAGCATTTTCCCTCAAGGATGTTTACCTCTCGAAGCCAGGATGCATGCATACTTTTATTTTACAGCAACATTGTCTTTCCCAAGAGAGTCATTACTGCCTTGGCAAGTTAGAGAAAGTCCCTGCAGTAGCAAGCTGAACTTCATTCAACCTTCTGATATTTTTAATATTTTTTCACCAGCTCTGGCCAAGTAGGACAGAACATATGAAGCAGCAAGAGGGAACATTCAAGGCCCACGCATGCTGTTCAGCGAAAGCCCGCCTCCTTGCAGCGTCTTTATCTACATGCCTTGTGTGGCAGCAGAGAGGATAAGCATATTTAGCTTGCATGTTTCCTCCCAAACTAAATTCCCAACACCGTAGATCACGGACATTACAGCCCTTACATCCCCCTGTTAGCGCTCGTATATACAAACACACACCTGCTGGGGCAAGGCCGTCTGGGAGAGAATTACAGCAGGCTAATTTATGAGACCCAAGGGAGGGCAAAGGGCAGGGGACCCAGACTGGCCTGACCTCACTTCCTCCTTTCATGGTCTCCGAGTTAGACCCTTGATACACAGAGCGGGGCTTTGGTTTTCAAACACATCATCCTCTCACAATCTTTCAAACGAAAAACTACCTAATTAGGGCATCTTTTTTCTACCCTGGTTAACACAATGAGCCCTGGGGGACTGTTGCAACATGCAAGTTAGCCATCAACCTTCGGCCCGCTATTGTGGAATATTTGGCACCTTCGGAGCCGAAGGTAAGTGGGTGAGAACAGGGTTTTGGTAAAAACTCTGGCCCCGGGCTCGCCTCTGGCCTCCTCATTTCCTCCAGTGAGAAAGCGCTGTCATCCGTCACTTGGGCCCAGGCAGGGGCACAATAGCACAGTCTAGGTCCTGGCTACTGACACCATCACATGGGCTGCTGATAAGACTCACCTTCCGGGACCTAGAAGAACTGAGCCATTACTGACACACAACAGTTTGGTCCTCTGCCATTCTTACTGATGACCATGAAATAAAAAGGAAAAAGGAAAGCACACTATGAGCTACATGAGGCAAGCACACTCTGCATGCAATTGTGCTTTCTTCTGTATTTTAAAAGGTCCTCTAGTCTTTATGGCCTCATCACTTCCATATTGCAACACGCTTTCCCAATGCAAGATGCAGGGGAAGAGCTTTCACACCCCTTTAAATGACCCTCTCTTGGAATCACATACAAGGAAAACAGATCGTGCAGACACACTTGAGCTAATCTATTTTCCTAGAGTAACAATCTATTGTTGTTATTAGCTTATCAGGAGCAGTGTAAGACAATTAGGTAATCATACTTCAGTTCCTCATCACACATCCAGGCTGTTATGGTAACACCAGTAAACAGTCAGCTCTTTTGCAGAAAGATGTTAAGTGCTACTCTACAAAGCTGTGTCATGTCATAATAACACACATACACTCACACAGACAGACACACATGCACAAGGCCTGTGCTGCACAGACACAGGAGGTGTTGATGCTTTCCTTACGCAGAGTTTACTTGTGCGGTAAAACCATCAGATACCAACCGCCCCTCAGCTTTACAGAAGCACAGACCACAGGGGAAAGATAATTGCAGTCATTACCAAGTCATCAAACTCCCATTCTGTGCTCAGGGATCTGCTGTCTTTAGAAAACGTTCAACCCTGTGGTAGCTAGCCTACATCTCCCAGGAGGACTGGATTTCTAGGCCTGCAACCACTGATATGACTATACACCTGCCACCCTGCAGAGAAGACACTGCTTCAACAGGTTAGCCAGCCAGAGATATGGAGAGAAGGAAAGGAACAAGAAGAAACATGTTCAGGGCTGCCTGGCAAGACACCAACTTTAAAGAAAGTGTACCTAGAGGAATGATTGAAATTTGACTTCAGCAGAGGTAGAAATATTTTTATTTACCTTTTTTTTTTTTTTTTTCAAAATTCTCTTTGTTGTGTGTCCAATACACGTGTCCAGAGCTGCGCGGCCTCTTCGTGCTGACCCGTGTTGAGGGCCTGACCTTACTCGGCTTATCGCGATGATTCTGAAATGAAGATGATGTATTGCAGAGTCGCACTCAGCACCGAGCAGCTCCTTGACACTAACTGAGAGTCTGGGTTTTGTTACAGGCAGGAAACAGACTCTTCCGCTCCGTAAACACGCTTCTCGGCTTGGCCAGTCTCGGGCCTGCCGGTAGCACGCGAAGACCAATTGCTGATGGTCAGCGGAGGCCTCGCGACGCCGTGGGCGCGCGAGTGCGCGTCCAGGGTTGACAAGTTAATTGAGCCATTAGAGCTGAAAAAGCCGCGGCTCTGACCCGTGACGCTTTGAATCGACATGAATATAAGGAGTGAACTTTTCAGACTGACATAAAAAAAACTCTAAAACCAAACTAGTGTGAGTCAGCACCGCATTTAGAAACAGCAGCCTTCTAATTTTCCACCAAAGTCATTATGTAATGTGCATCGATTACTGTGTTTGTTCTGTTGTCTTGTTGAATCACTGCACAATAAACATAGCTGGGTAAATATTTGGGAAACAAATTGATGAGATTTACAGGCCTGTTGGAGTATTTTCACGAACCAATACACTCCACTTAAGTCCGAATAAATTCCACATAACTCGTGTAAAATTACCAGCCGTTTTTTCCTTATAAGTAAATCTTGAGGAAGACATATTATAGGCTGTTCTAGTAGTGTCTCAGGGCGCAATCTGGATTTGCTTATCACGGGAACACATTTAGGATTTTGCTAAAGCCTTTGTGTTGAAAAAATGCCTACTTCGCAGACTCCTCTCAATGCTTTCCCACTTCACTTAAATGGACCATTTTAAAGACAGGGATCTCTAGAATAAGAAGAAGAAGCAGAAGGGGGGTTGGGGGGGCGCCCTAATCTAAACAGCGCCTTGTTGATGGTGAGCGGATGAGATTATGTCGGCATGCCCTCCTTTTCTTTCCACACGGTTTAGAAGCAATGGGCCTTCAGACCCTGGCGCCTGCACTTGGCCACAGATAGGAGACCAGGAGTGAGGTGTCCCGTTTCAGCGAGCCTGCCCTTTGCCACACAGGTGAAATTAAATTAGTTATTTCACATATTATGGGACCAAATTTTTTGTTTATTATTTATTAAAGAAGACAAAACATGTTGGGAAGACTGGGAACCTGCAGAAATGAATCTGCGACTCCTGTTATTGGAGTCACGCCAAACATAGAAAACATTTTTTGATCAATTAAAATAACTTTTTAAAGCAGGTGACATTATTATTATTATTATCATTACCACTATCATTATTATTATTATTATTGTTATTATTAACGAATTAAAACGATTTTTCATTCCAGTTTTTCCAGTATTAACTGCTGCACAAGAAACGGATAATTTCAATTAAGCAAACTTCTTTTAATATTTTACGCAGTTCTTATTTTGGAACCACTGACCCAATGTCAGGGGAAAGCCATATTTTGTTAAAAAAAAATCCTAAGACTTTCTCAAATTAGGGAACCATAAATAAACGACAAAGCTCTAAATTTATATTCTTCATGCCTCTTTAGGCTGCCAATTTTATCTCATTTCCCACAGTCGCTGCATATTATCTTATCCTTGGATTGCCGAGACAGGAAACGAAGATATGCGTAATCTTAAAACCACCTTAGTGATGATGGGAAGAGTTGTGATTTCCTGGGACCATTCAGTAGAGACAAGAAGAGAATAAATGGTATTCGAGTAACCGGATAATAAGCAACAATTACCTATAGGTGCTGCACCGAATTAAGGGTTTTGCTGAGTACATTTTTTTATTATACAATTTTAAAGGCTTCTGTGCTGTGACTGTTTTCTGTTAGGAAAACAAAAAGTATGCAATAAAAACTTCCTTACCTTTAACACCTTTAAAAATCTGAGGGGAGTCGATGGTGATAACAGTATTTCATAAATTAGGGCTATTTGTCTTCCAGGCGGAGAGAGAGAGCAAGAGAGAGAGAGAGAGCGAGAGAGAGAAAGAGAGAGAGAGAGAGAGAGAGAGACTCCCTCCCCCGCATCAGAACGTCACTGAAAGGGAGAGGACAGCATCTTGGCTTTCTAACAGGATCGACCTCTCTCTCTCTCTCTCTCTCTCTCTCTCTCAGCCCTCCAGCCAGAGTCACACAACCAGAAGAGAGGGATGTCACAGCTGAAGGAAAGCCAGTCCTCTTCCTCGGTCTGCATGAAAAACAAGCAGCGCGCGACCATTCTTCACGCTTACGCACGGGGTATTCACTTCTTTTACGCACGCTCCGGAGACAAACTAGTCCGATTTTGGATCTAGCCTCCTGACTGTTTATCTGTCACCTCTCTGTTGGTGGTAATAATGCTTCCCAGTCCGGTCATAACGTCTTCCACCACGCCTTTTTCTGTGAAGGACATACTGAAGTTAGAGTTGCAGCAACACTCTCAGCAGCACCCGCTCCAGTTTATCTCCTGCTTCGGTCTCTCTGGTGGAGCTTTCCCAAACAAACCCCTCCGCTCTCACTCGCCGCCCTCCTGCATGTTGGCCGGCAGGGACAGTCCGAGTCCCATCAGCTCCGGCCTCTCGGAGAGCGAGGAAAGGATGTCGTACCTCAACACGATCACCGTACCGGACCGGCTGTCGGGGTCCGGGCTGCCGTTGGAGATGTTCGGCAACCCGGCGCAGAGTCACTCCGCAGAGCTCGGTCTGGAGACCGAGCAGGAGGAGCAAGACAGCAGTAAGTACAGAGGCTGATTCTACACATGCAATAAGCAGTGAGGATGATGATGAAGCATAATAATACTGCACTGGCAGAGATGCCAAAATTAAAATTCAAAAATACTTGCCTGTCTTGCAAAACAATTAGGGTTAATCTTCTTAACTGACTTTAACAGATGTTTATGGAGAAATAATCACCGCGAACTGACCAGATATTATTTGTTGATTCAGATATAGATAAGTATAAAGCGGATAAACACAGAGGAAACAGGTTCACAAGAGGGGTTTTTGTTAATAGGCTAATATAAAATAAATTTAACATTTAAACTAAATATCGAGGTGTTACTTGCTTATTTCATTATTTGATACTATGATTTAGAACAAAAACTGCTAGCTGAGCCACGCCTTGGACAATGGACGCCCACAAAGTTGTTCTAGGCTGTTAATTGGCTGCATTTAATTGCTATACATAAAGTTAGCCTACAGACGTTAACGTGTTTACATTTCTACTAATTTATATAATTTTAACAATCCGTATAAATCACTGGGCAGAAATGTAAAGCACCAGACTTTTAATGACAGCTTCACAGCTTCTTAGATTTATCCATATGAATGTGCATGTCATCGCCGCAGAAAATGAAGAAATGTTAAAAAAAATAATAAAAAATGTTTAACCTCATCTCTAATTTCCTACATGTGAACATTCATGGTTGTTTTAAGTACACGGATGAATTGTCAAATACTTGGGTCAAAAATCCATCCTAATGAACTCTTTCAGTTAAGTTCTCTTTGAAACCACCTTTTGATGTATTTCCTATAGGCTAAATAAAAATAAGACAACTTCCAATGTATGTATGTATATATATATATATATTGCAAATTAAAAGGGATACTGCAAATTAAAAGGGAATATTTTTTAAAATTCGCAACAAATTTATTTTAAAACTGTTTTGCTTCAACATTTTATGGAAATTAAGATTTTTAAATTAATTAATTAATCTGTAATAAAATCAGGAATAAATATTTTCTTCTTTAAACTTTGGTGCTCAGTGAATTTCCTCCTCTCTTTGCAGACAGCTGCGGTGTGCTGCGCGGTGAGTGTGAGGATCTAGATTCGGAGAAACCCGCCACCAAGCAGCAGAGGACCAGGAGGAAACCCCGCGTCCTCTTCTCCCAGGCTCAGGTGTTCGAGCTGGAGCGGCGCTTCAAGCAGCAGCGTTACCTCTCCGCCCCGGAGAGAGAGCACCTGGCCAGCTCCCTCAAACTCACCTCCACCCAGGTCAAGATCTGGTTCCAGAACAGGAGGTACAAATGTAAGAGGCAGCGGCAGGACAAGACTCTGGAGATGGCGGGTCATCACCATCACCACCACCACCACCCACCACCGCCGCCCAGGAGGGTGGCTGTGCCAGTGCTGGTCCGGGACGGGAGGCCTTGTCTGACTGGATCCCAGAACTATAACACCTCTTACACAGTCGGAGCTCCAAACCCGTACAGCTACAACGGGTATCCAGCCTACAGCTACAACAGCTCGGTGTATTCTAACACTTACTCCTGTGCTTACTCTAGTTTACCTGCTTTGCCGCCCAGCAACACCACCGCTAATGCTTTCATGAACATGAATTTAGGAAACCTTGGCGCACAGACGCAAAGCCAGGCTCCCCAAGGATCAGTGGTCACACCCTGCCAAGGAACTCTGCAGGGCATCCGGGCATGGTAGCGTAGCCATCATATAAGGTCACAACTGAGAGAGACTAATCGGAATAGACTCAAACATGAAAATCAGATCAAACGGTGCGAGGATAGCACAATTTATAACTGTAACACATAACAGAAAATACAGACCAGTTGGCTGGAACTCAAGGCAGGCCTATGAGGAAACCCTAACCCGCTGACTGAGAGACATACTGTAGCCTACATATTAACTACAGTGTGCGCATTTTTCTCTGCGCAACAGTGTAGGAAACTTTTTAAATCTGAATGTTGTCGATGAGCAAAGACTGTGCGTAATGTGGCCTGTTGTGGTTCAAAAATAAAGAAAAGGGAAATGGTATGGACATTTTCATAAACACACACGTTTTCATGCATACAGTATAGCCCACAATGAATTTATTATTGGCCTCATCCAATTAGATCTCCGAAGAATGCACTGCGAATAACAAAATGGACCACAATGACCAGATAATGCAATCTTATTAAGTATTATGATTTTTTTGTGTTTGACCAGTAGCTTTTTTTTTTACTCAAAAACAGCTTTTTAGAAAATGATCAATAATGATGAAATTAAATGATACAAGTGACTGCATTGTACTGTGCTTTGTGTGTGCGTGCGCGCGTGTGTGTGTGTGTGTGTGTAAGCTCACCAAAACACAAGGACCTACAGAACCTAAACAAATAAAGTACAAATGAATGCAAAAACATACTTTTCTATGCCCAGTGCAACGTTTCTGACCTTGTCTGGAAACTCGTCCTATTATCCCAACATTCATATGAATGTGGAAACTGAAATAAATGAATGTTGAGTTAGGTTTATTCCTCAAGCATGTAGTTTGTCATCTTCTCAAATCTCTTTCTCAAGCCTAGAAAGTTTTTTTTTTCCTTGTGAGAGAGCTTGTAGGAGACTTTGGTCTGAGACAAGAACCAGAAACAGAGAGAATTTAGAGGCGAGCTAATGTCCGGTCAGGATTCACAGATGGACATTAACCAGACAGCCAGCATCCTCGGGACCCACAGAGCGAATAAACTCACAGAGCTCTGGATGATAAATATCGATGGAAAATGTTCTCTTGGTTGATGGATGATCCTGAAATATATATTTTAAAATAAAATATGACAGTAAATGCTACTATGCTCCAAATAATAATAATTGGCTAATAATGATGAATAATGATGATAAAAATCTGGTAATTTCAGTAAATAAGTAACTTTATAATAATTGTATCATAATTTTATAATTATCCACATTTTTAGTCACTCACTCTTGGGCGCGTACACACACACACACACACACACACACACACACACCGCTGAATGGAGATGGACTTAAACACCTTCACCTCCCAGACATGGTCGAATACGCAGACACTATTAATGGAGATGAATGGCAACGTAAAGCGAGTGTTTGGTTCCTCTGATAGCTCCACTGGCCACTTCCCCTGGCTACTGCACTGCCGGTAGGACATACCTGGTGTCAGCTCTAAGTGCTGCACAGTCACAAGTGTAAATAGAGCTGGCGACAGGACGGCGATGCCTGAGGACGCGGCCCGGCCACGGCTGCTCTGACAGGCGCTGCGATCGCTATCTCGTGCTTCCAAAGATAGCAGCTCGGCTCATCGCAGCGCAGGGCGCGGAGTTTCCCAAAACAAAGTCTCCAATGGCAACCACTCAAGGAGCTCACAAAAAAAAAAAAAAAAAAAAAAAAAACCGGGGCCCAAATATAGAGAAGGAGAAAAGTGCGCGGAGAAGCTGGAGTAAATGCTCTCCCATTAGGTGGCCCTTCAAGTAACGCCCCGGCCGCACAACATGGCATCGGATGGTTATGGAAAAGTTTTTTGTTTTTTTTTTCAGAGCTGCAGCCAATTTATCTCTGATTTGACCGTGTAGCTATATTACCATACCATTATCATAATTTAATGTAAAAAGCATCAAAGCGTTACATTTAGACACAGAACATTTTAATTGGAATTGTGGCAAAATGAATTAGCAGTTGTTTAAGGACAGAGTTAACCATAGAGTAACTTGTGGTTTTGCGCTTTATAGATAAAACTGACTTGACTTGAGTGTGGAAGCAGCTGATGCATAAAGATTTAAAGGTTTTTCTTTTGTGTGTAGCAGAAAGGTATTTCTTTTTCTGGCATCACCTTTGCCATAGAATCCATTTTCAGTAATTGCTGACTGTATAGATTTTCGCGAATGCGCTGCAGTTTTAGTGTCTGATCCAGAGTCTGTGTGTGGGAAACTACTTAGCAGGCAAAAGAGGGAGAGTTTGAAAATATGTGCGTATTAGGAGTGGGATTATAAATCAGGCATGTTGTCTGTAACTGTGAGCGAGTGGGTAAATGAAAGGCTGCTTCATTCAGAAATCAACAGTAACACCATTTGTTATATAGCAAGCATGTTAATGATTAATAGACTAAATTCCCCCACGGTTTTGCTGAATAAAAATGTTACATTTGTAATTATGGCGATGACATGTCGTGGTCTGAACACATGTTGAGTGTGCCACTACTTCCACGCACTCGCATCCAGCTATAGCTTTGAAACCCCTGGAGCTGTGCAGCGCTCTGTGGCGAGCAGAGACATTTCTGTGTTTAGTCAAAAGAAGAAAACAAAACAACACGGAGGAGGCAGATCACCGCGTCTGTCATCACATCTCCTCGTTGAGGGATAGGCCTGCTGATTGTGTAATGCGCGTGCTGGTGTGTGTGTGTGTGTGAGAGAGAGAGAGATAGGGCGAGAGAGTAGTGGGAAGGGGTGGGAGGGGGAAGGGGGGCAATTTCCACAGTTGCCATCTTTACTTATTACCCACCTCTTAACTTTGGAAACCATGCATGGTGACCACACGGCGGCGCTCCTCACCTGTCTGAGCAACAGGAGTGGTTGTCGCTTTTCATAATAACATTCTCCCTTAGTCTTAGTCACTCAGCGAAATTTCTGTTATGGGTTTTGTTAACAATCATAATGTTTAATGGCACCATGGCGTCCACAATCTTTGGCTGAAAACTTCCATAATTTTCTGCATAAAGAGGAAGAATTGGTAAAATCCATGAATATGAAGAATAAGAAGTTAACCTCTGTTAAGATTCAGTAAGGGACTGGAGCAAATTTAGACATTTTAGATTAGGATGGGCCTGTCAAAGTACAGTAGATTAATTAAACCACAAATGTAATTGTTGGTTGCAGCATTGTGAGGGGATTTTTAAAAAAAACACGGTCTCACTAATCTGCGTTTTACGCACGCTGTGCGAACTTTACGCATCTGATTTTCTTACCACAATTTACAAACAATAAATACCTGGTAAACACACAGAGGCTGAAACGGCTCCATTTTGCAAGAATACTCGTCTCGCTGTCCAATTCCTGTCTAATACTGACGGCAATATTGAATAATGTTTGCTCAACTGGGTCTAATTTCTCTACTTCTCTCCAGAGAACATAAAAAATCTCCAAATGCAGCTACAAAGAGCGACTAACTCCCTTTAAAATAATAATAATTCATTATGTCCGTAACGTAAGATAATAAAAATCCCATTATGGTGAAAAATCACTGTACCTTGTCCTGAGTTAGACACCAGGATGAAGCTGGGCGGTGCGAAGGAGGGACCAGGAAAGAAAAAAGAGCCTATCACATGTTGACTGGAGCTGCTGCTGCTGTAATGGACTTGACAGCTCTTGATATAGGCTGTTCAATAGCAGACCGAAGTTTGTTCACTACAATTAACGGAGAACAATTAAAGAGAGCGGTGAAAAGATCGAATCAGTAAGGACGGTTTGCTTTCGAGCAGCTCATCTCTTGATGCCTCCAGATAAATCGCATGCGGGGGTGAGGAACTTTCCGTGCTTTTATTTTCATCATGACATTAAGTTTTTCGCCCTTCTCCATTAAAGACATCCTCACCGGAGGTGATGCCCGGGGGAAGTCCGGTAGCAAGAGTACAGAGGCGCTCTGCGCACCAAAGCGCAACATCTGCACCGAGCACGATGGCACCAGAGTCCCTGATCTGTCTCTCCAAGACGCGGAGGAGAACCGCATCCAGCCGGAGAGGCTTCCTCCCGGTCTCAGGCTGTCTTTAGGAAACCTCCGATCTGACACCTACAGCGAGGAGGCCACAGGAGAGGAAACTGAGCTCAGACAAGGTGAGGACTTTTATTCAACTCGGCAGTATGGAACTGTAAAGATTCGGTGGCTTTACACCCATGACAATAAGGCGACGGTTTTGTGAATTTAGAGTCGGCTATATTTGTACAAAATGGAATCTTGAAATAAGATCGATAAAGTAACATCATTTAATTAAACACAAAAACACAATTAAAAATTTGCTTTGGAAACTGGATGCATTCTTCTCACCAAAGTGGCATTTTTGTCTTATCCTTTTGAGATAAAATATGGTTTTAATTCACAACAGACGACATGAGATATTTCAGCAGTATTTGCAGTGATAAAAATGATTAATTTTCTTCCTACAAAAACAAAACAAAAAAACATTAAAGTTCGTTGTATAAATCCAGAGATCTGATTTGGGCATATTTGGATCAGAGAAAGAAGACCGAGGCTAGTTATACCATATATGTCACTTTTTTTTTTGTCTTTTTTTGCTGCGTCAGATTTTGCTTTTTGTTATTTGAACAAAGTCGTCAGTGTCTGGAAAGCAACACCATAATGACAAAAGGTTGTTTGAGTTGTGCCTTATCATTTATTTCATAATGTCCTCTGAATCTCTGACAGTGTGAAAGGGATAAAAGAGGAAAACCTCACATCAGCATCATGCTGAAGTGACCTCTCAGCCAGCAGCTGACCTTGCCTGAGACAACACACACTTACTGTCGTCACACACTGTTATTGTCTTTCCTATAGGCGCTGCAGACCAGCAACGACAGTGTGTGGAGCTGGATAAACGGCAGAAACAGACGGCGGAGACAGAGGATGAGGGATGTCATGACAGCGGTGGAACGGTCAGCTGTTCATCCGATGAGCAGCAGTCCAGGCCCGGTACCAAGAAGCGCTCCAGGGCGGCCTTCTCTCACGCACAGGTCTACGAGCTGGAGCGCCGCTTCAACGCGCAGCGATATCTTTCAGGCCCTGAGCGGGCCGATCTGGCGGGAGCTCTGAAACTCACAGAGACTCAGGTAAAAATCTGGTTCCAGAACCGGAGGTATAAAACTAAACGGCGGCAGATGGCGGCGTGCAGCTCACCAAAGAAAGTAGCAGTCCAAGTGCTGGTGAGGGAAAATCAAAAGCAGTACCCTCATGCGAGTGGAGTACACATTCCGGTGACTGTGCCACTGTACCAGGCCTACCAGTACCACCCTTACCTGCACTACTGCTGCCAGCCGTGGAGCATGAACAGCATGTCGTGTGGAGGGATGCTCTGAAGCTCTCTCTGAACTGTGGACAGTCAGTGGCTTCAACAAGTGTCACAAGGTGTCTGCAGCGTCTGTTCAGTCGGTGATGCTGCACCACATGGGACGTTTTGGTGCAAAGACACATTTCTGTAGCCTTTGCTTTCAGACTGGTTGAGACTTCAAAGTTTTCTTTTTCAAATAATTTAACTGATTTTCAATTGTGGTTATTGCTTGTCTCATAGAAAGTCAGTTTGCCATTTTTGTTCCCCTTTTAAGAAAATAAAATCAGAACTTGGATATTCATGGTTCATAAAATGCTATGGTTTCTCACCATGACTAGTTAAATTTAGATATAGGCCTTTGGAAGTTGTTATAAGGTAAAACTAAAATATTTATATATCATATATATGATATATCCTAACATTTTCTGCTGTGAACATTAGTGTGGGCATATTGTGAAGCTCTTTTCAGACTGCCCGCTGATTGGATTATTTCTGTGTGAAGAAATCTTTCAAATTTAAGGCAAGATTTGAATGTGGTCATTATTTTCTAATGATTTACTAGAAAATAATAATAATTTAAAAAGTTACAACTCTGGTCTGCTGGGTCATGTTCTCATTATCGTACCTTCTATTTTATGTAATATTTGATCTATGTAATTACATAATATATATATTGGGGGACGGAGGTGTCAGAAAAAAAAGGGGAAGGTTACTCTGACATAGCTGGGAGGGTTTTTTTTTTTAAAAATCACCTCAGATTTATATTTTAGCATTCCCTTGTAGGAGTAATGGAAAAATACAGTTTCAATTATAAATAGAAATTTAAGATTTAATTCCCCTCCCACAGTGATTGTTGTACAGTCCTCAAATATCACAATACTGAGAAAAAAAAGTTTAAAAGTGGCAGTGTGTAATCTAAATTATATCCTACAGTTAAATGTACTAAACAAACAAAAATGTGTGCTCTGTATTCATTAGCGTAGTTAAATTAAATTGGTGAATTTATAGATACAGTATACTTGAATGAACTCCAGTGGGTCTGTGAGCATGTAGCTGTATGTTGTTAATCATCTACAAATTATTTACAGAATATATTAGTGTAAATATACTAATTCAGGTCTCTTAATTCTCAGAGACAGCTCCTGACTAGGCGCCTCAAGAGCCCATACAATGATCTATAGTTGCTTTTTCCCCCTTCTTAGTGACTGCCAGTGACAGTCCATTTTAAGCAACCCGGCAGAGCAGAAAGGAATCCTCAATTTATACAAACCCAACAAGAGAAAGTAGCTTTTCTCCATGTGCGAGAAGTATGACCGAGACTCTGACATTTTTAGTAGGTATTTATTTTATTTATGGGACATCTTTATTGATCACGAAACTCAACACGACACCTCAAGTAAAGAACACGTTCTCTACATGAAGTTTTATGGAGCTTTATAAGCTTTCGGAGAGTCTGTCTCTTTGTGTACTTGTTCTCTTTTACACACAATGCTAAAGTGACAGATTAAGAAACAGCCGGGTCGGGCTCAGAAAGCATGAAAATATCATTTACTGTATACTCTTTAAAAGGTGTGTGTGTGTGTGTGTGTGTGTGTGTGTTTGTGTGGAAAGGGACATGTGGTCATGCATCACACATCATGCAAAGAAATGCAGACAACAGCGAACTGATTAACTACTTAAAAGATTTACTGACTCGCCCAAATGATATTTAGAAGGTGAATGTTTACGGTTTTGTATTTTAAAAGGTGTGTTTTTTTTCCCCCCCGTGTGTGTAAAGAGTTCTGTGTAGGCCTACTCTCTAGTGTGTGCTGCATGAGTCATAGACGGCAAATAGACCGTGGAGATGTTGCACCATCCAGCTGGCCTGCACAAGACAGCACGCATTAATCATACCTTACTGAAAAGACTGCGCCCTCATCCCAAAGTAAAAAACAGAATAGCCACACTTGATAGGAAAATAAAAACATAATTCTTAAACGAGGTGACTAGTGCTTTGGCAGGGTTCTTAACTGATTGTACTCACCAGCCAGTTGGCACTCACTGCCAGAATTGTGTGGCATAAATGGAGCCTGCCCTGACTGATGCACTACAGATCAACAGATAAAAAGAAGACCTGTATGTGGTTAGGAATCTAAAAGAAATACCTACACTATATTTGTGTAGCATGTTCAGTGATTTCACTTTCACGCTGCAGTGTCAACATGTGCAAAATGTTTGCCAGTATTTGTCTAAAGCAAGGTAGGTATGTCCGTATGAGCCTAGCAAATATTATCATTGCAATATAACAACATTAAAGAGGCCGTGACATCAAAGAAATGTCATCTAAAATAGGTACTTCAACTTCCCATTTCCCATAACAAGCTCCTTTGGCCGACAGGATCCCCCTGTGCCATACTCTGGCACCAACCCAGACCTCATTTATCTCTCACATCAAAACACCACTTCAAGCTTTCCTAAGTGGTTGGCATTGTGCACAACAGGTTTCTGGGCGGAAGAACTTACACATCTCCTCTTGATTGTCTGACTGTAAGTTAGCAGGGCACAATTAAGTCTAATTATTTTTCATTTACTCAGGGTATATTTTATTCTATTCAAAACTTAGACGACTGAGACTCTGCAACATAAAAGGCCATTGCATTGTGGCTCCTAAGTATGCCACTTTCTATGAGCTCTCATTATTCACATTGTGCTGGTGAATGGTTGCTCTTGTCATTGCCGTCTACCGTGACTAGATAAGAATTTTTCTTTCCCTGCACCCAGTCTGTGATGTCACATTGATGTAAATTTCCATAGAGAACAAAGAAAGACACTGAAAAGGAAAAGTGAGCATAATACAACCCAAGATGATGTAGATTGCCATGGACCTCATCCAGAAGTGAGGTTGTTCTTTGGGACACTTGGCTGACACCTGACAGCAGGACTTCCCCTTGTATTTAAGTAAACGATGACAAATTGGGTTTTATTTTTGGCTAATGGGGCCAGAAACACAAGCAGTCACACAATCACGGAAGTAAGGACAAGGACTGAAAAGGGGGATATTTCTACGAAGGAGGACCGACACAAACTTTCTTCTTGTTTCCTTGTGTGTGTAATGACTGAATTAAGCAATCCAAACACAAATGTGACTACATGCGTCACTATGGACAGTTACCCCACAAACACCAACAGTGCTGACACAGAACAAACATCAGTAATAATGTAAAATGACAAGCACAGGTATTTGTAAAATATAGTGGAGCAGCTTATTTCTCGTACGCTCGCAATCTTCAAATCATATTTCAAAAGCACAACTCTAACAATGCAAACAGGTTTCAGGCTACGACACCAACCGCATGGCTGTTTTCATGGCTACAGCATGCAACAGCTCCGTAGACAATTGGTGTGGTTGGCATTGCAAGGGGTTAGCTTAAGATGGCTTAATCGTCCTCAGACAGGCTAATTTACTTCATTACTCCGTAATACACGAACATACTGCAAAACATCTCCCTCAGCATCTACACACATTCAATTTAACACACAAAAATGAACCATTATCATGAGGGGACTCATACCTGAGAAGGAGGATATTTCTATGAAAGATAAAGAACGCAAATTTTTCTTCAGCTCATGTGTACGTTCCCTCTGCTGGAGCCCTCCGGTTTCTACTTCTACTCTTAGTACCGCTGGTGTTAGGTTGACATTAACATGAGATATGAGAAAACATAAGCTGCTGCAACTGACAATAACAAACATGAGATATGATATAACATATATACTGTATATATATATATGAAAATGCTCAAATATTAGAACATGACAATGTGTTCCGATCAAATGTCACTGTACTAGTGGATTTAGCTCAACACTAGGAATGCATGTTATTCCATCCGTCACATCAACAGCTTGGAGAAGCTGTGTTCATTCACTACACTACACAACACTACACAACACTACACTACAGTAAAGTATGTTAGGTCACAGTTGAACAAGAATATTCAAAACAAACAGGTTCTGTTTTCTGCTTTTCATCAAATATGTTTGGTTAACCTACGAGGCCTTGTCTTCTCAGCAACTGTGAGTGCATTTTTGCTATTACAGACAGGAATCATGACCAAAAACTATGAAATTAAAACCCAAGCTGTAATAACCCAGATTTTTTTGTGAGTGACCACTATAAAGGAAGCGGTGAGTGAGTGAACCAGGGAGGGATTTCAGACACAGCCTTAGTCTCGCAACTGAGGAACTAGCTTGGTTGCTTTGCTCCATTCATCCATAAGACGATCACAGCACTTAAACTCATTGCTGACACAAAGGGCAACATACCAAAATATGAAACTCTGTCTGTGACTTTATCACTGTATCACTTACAGCCATGTCAGTTCTTTAGCTGCCTTTCTGGTGGGGAATGTGCTCCAGCCAGTAGGCTGCTGAGCCATCAAGCTTTACTGTATGTATAAATGTGTAATGCTCAAGTATGTTAACATTTTGAGTTGTGCTTTATTTATACGCCTCCCCATGAATAGGCTCATAAAGCAGAGGGAGTGAGAGAATGAAAGGAGCCAGACAGAAGAACATGCTCATCTGCCTCTTTGAACAATCATCAGCACCGGCTTCCATGGCTGAACAAAGCTTTAAATGGCAGATCTCAATGGGACTCATTAATGCCAGTGGTAACAGGTAATTTCCTTTTGAACTTTATGTTGCTGCAGATTCCTCAACTGGGAGGAATGCGCTGAGGGTGGGGCTGATCTACAGTGAGCAACACAGGAATGACGGTCCTCACCTAATCCATGTTTGGCTGCACTTTTCAGATACAGATCTATTGACAGAGAATTCTCACAGGGCTCCTGAGCAGCAATTACACATGCATTTCCGATGCGCCTATTGTAGCAGGAATCATTTTCTCAAGAGCCTTGTTGATTTAAACAATATCATATTCACTTAACGGCTCCTGGCACTGAGACCTCTGGGTAACATGAGCGGATTTACAGTTTGCACGAAAGCGAAACTGGGAGAGGCTTCCCTCTCAAAATGATGCAGATCCTGCCAATTGTTGATTGTAGTATAAGAAACAACTATCACAACCGCTAAGTGTTTTTGCTTTGGGAGAAAAGTGGTGTGTGTTTTGCTGCCGTTAATGCGTTGGCCCTCAGCAGACAGGGCAGGAATCAGGAAGGAGAGAGGTCATGGTTAATACCTCTGTTTAAAGACAGATCTGCTTCCCTTTGACCTGGTCTCTCTCACACACACACACACACACACACACACACACACACACACACACACACACACACACACACACGGCAAATAATCCCACCCAGA